CTGGAACTAAGGGGCCGAGCCCAACCCTGAAAAACAGCGCCAGATCATTACCCCTTCTCCACCAGACTTTACTGTTGGAACTATGCATTCTAGCTGATAGCATTCCTGCATCAGCCAAACTCAGACTTGTCCACCAGATTGCCAGATCGTGACACATGATTCACCCCAGAGAGCCCTGCTCTGGAGTTCAGTGGCACCATGATTTACACCACTCCAGCTGATGCTTGGCATTGCGAACAGTAATCTTAGGCTTGTGTACAGCTGCTTGGCGATGGAAACTCATTTCATGGAGCTCCTGATGCACAGCTCTTGTGCTGATGTTGCTTCCAGTAGTGAGTGATGCAAAAGAAGATGGGAAGTTTTTACGTACTACACAGCACTTGGCAGCCCTGCTCTGTGAGTTTGCATCATCTGCAATGCATCATCGTTTCCTGGCTGAGCTGTTGTTGCTTCTAGATGCTTCCAGTTTACAATAATAGCACTTACAGTTGACCAGGGCAGAGCTAGCAGGGCAAAGGTGGCATCCTATGACAGTGCCACGTTTAAAGTCACTGAGCTCTTCAGTAGGTCCATTCTACTGCCATTTTTTGTCAATGGAGGTTGAATGGCTATGTGTTTGATTGTATACATCTTAGCAATGGGTGTAGCTGAAACACCTAAACTCAATAATTAGGATTGGGGTCCACATACTTTTGGCAATATAGTGTAATTCACATCCTCGGAAGATGTGTTTTGACTGAGTTCTCTTTGAATGCTCTTTGAAAGTGCTCGCAAACATCAGATTCAGCCACTTGGGGGGTCCAAAGCACAACTGATGTTACAAAATATTCTTCCATATGTTGTGTGCAAATACACATTTCTGCCAGAAAGGTCTCCAAATTATCCAAACTTACTTAGTGTAACTTTAAAAATACTATCAAAAACTACAGATTTTGTTCAGTGTTTCACATACTTGCCCACTCCTGTAGTGTATTGACCGATTGATAGACTGATGATGATATACAGATTTTGATGCTGTGTCTTAATAATCTTAATATTAACATTGCATCAAAACCTGGGCATTATTTTATCTCAGAATAACCAGTTTGAGTGGATTGATGGGTCCAGCTGGGGATATAGTGACTGGATGCCAGGTCACCCAAGATTGCTGGAACAGAAGCAGTCCTGTGTGGAGATGTTCAGAATTGGTAAGATTTGTAGTGTTCGATCCTCCGTTATTGAAACATTATGTGTGGTATTACAGAATTGGCCCAAAGATCTTTCAGTCACAACTATCTCCAGACACTCTTATCAATTAGGTCTGTACCTGGCAATTTACTGAACCCTTCAGAAAGACCAGATAATAAGACTAAGATAGGCCATAGATAAAAGAGATTGTATAGCAGATTACCGAACTGTCTTGATCTTATCAGTAATGTGAGATTTCACCTTTGAATAATTGATGTGTCGTGTAAAATAGCTATCTACAGTTGTACTAGAAAGGTTTAGATTACCTAAAAACAACTTAAATGAATGATTTATTTATTATAATTTCTGTCTTCCTCCTCTGTTTCTCTTTCTCTATACAAAATAGATGAGAGCTGGTGGACAGCTGTAGACTGTGGCCTGAAGAGAGCATCAATTTGCTCATACCCAGTAATGGCATAATGGTCCCTCTCAGTCGTCTCTATAGAATCCGATTGTCATGAAATGTATTGTATAAGTTCTTTTTAAGCAGACTTATTAAGCAGACTGCAGGTAAAATAAGTTGGCTAGGGCCATCATAAGAAAAGTCAATATGTTTTTGCTGGTGTAATAAATGCATTTGCCTGCCTTATCTGTCTCGTCTTCTTATCTGGCATGAAATCATGATCCATGATTTTATTTATAATTATAAATAAATTAACAGTGACAAAGTTACCAGGATATATTGCTAAAATGTGGTGGATTTCTTCAAGAAACATGCTGTGAATTTGTGCAAAAGCATAAGAGTAATCAAATAATAATCATTGAATCTCACTAAAGGCACGTATTACCATGATTTCTGTACTTATTTTAGACCCTCCCACTTGAAATGAACCTTAGACATTTTATAGAATGGGACAAAATGCTCTCACAATTTATTTGGCAGCACAAATTAGAGTGGGAGTGTGCTGGTGTAACCCAAATATCAGGCACAATGGAAATCAGTAGAGACTGTTGCACTATGCAGTATTCCTATACAAGCAGTATTGGCAGATGGAGATTTACAAACATATAAAGATGAAATTAATAACCCATGGGTGAAAATCACGCTTAGTGTTTTAAAATTATTGTAAGAAAATAGAATTTGATAGCTTATATTAAAATCCTAGCATGAGGGACACATGACTCTTGAGAATTCTCACCAGATAGTTCAGAAAATAGATTTAAAATATGAGCAACACAGAGAATTAAAGCTATATACTATGATAGAGAAAAAATCAGCCCTCAACATAACATGTTAAACAAAAATGGTAACGGGAAGGTTCAATGGTCATTATGGATGGATATTGGAAATATATCACATGGAAGTTTCAATGGAAAAGCACAAAGGCCATAAAATGGAGGGAATTTTGCTGGAAAAATAAATGTATCTGATTATTTGTTTATTATACCTCAACAGAAAACCTGTACGGGTTATGCTGCCCCAGTATGCTGGAGGAATTGTGGGTGCCAAGATGCAAATCACTATCACATATTTTGGGAATGTCCAAGCATCCAAAAATACTGGGAATAGATAATGGGAGCTCTTCAGCATATTTAAAAGGGATATGCCTATGAATAGTAAAGTAGTCTATTTCGGTTATGTTCTCCCTGATTTAGGACAAATAGATAAATCCTTAATGGCTGTGCTTTTAGCACCTGGTAAAAAGGCACTGAGAAAGAGATGGTTATAACCAGAATGCTTCAGCATACCAAGACATTCTGGATAATTGTGTGCCTCCAACAGTTTGGGGAAGGCCCTTTTCTATTCCAGCATGACTGAGCCCCGGTGCACAGAGCAAGGGCTATGAAGGCATGGCTGGGTGAGTTTGGTGTGGAAGAACTTGAGTGGTCCACACAGAGCCCTGACCTCAACCCCATCAAACACTTTTGGGATGAACTAGAATGGAGATTGTGAGCAAGGTTAGTGGTCAGTGTCTGACCTCACAAAAGCTCTTCGGAATAAATTGGCAAAAATTCCCACAGACAACACTCCAAAATCTTGTAGAAAGCTTCCCAGAAGAGTGGAAACTGTTATGGCTGCAAAGGGGGACCAACTCCCTATTAATGCTAATGGATTTAGAATGGGATTCATAAAAGCTCCTGAAGGTGTATTGTGTAGGTGTCCCAATACTTTTGTTCATGTAGTGTATATCCACCCTATCATGGATGTGTCCATTCTGTCATGGCAAGATGCATAATAGGGTGGGCATAGAAATAGGGCCAATTTTAGCTAAAGCTAACATTTGATGAACATATGTTGACCTACAGTTGCAGAAATGCTAAAATGTTTAAGATTACTTTGTTTTGTTATCTTATATGTTTTGATATATTAAAATGATTTTAATTAAATCAATATTTCACCACGACAGGGTTGACATCTTATGCTAAGTATGGAGAAAATGGAAGAGATATTATGTAAAATTAACTTATATAATTACTGAACATGCAGCAGGTTTGTTCAGTCCATTGAAAGTTGTGATGTCACTGATGTCAAGGGTCAGTTTCTTAAAGGGGCAGTTATCACAAAATGACAGGAATGACTGCAATTCTAGGACATGTGGAAATAGCTTGATATTTTTAAGAAAATGGCAAAAAGAAAAATCAGAATGCTTAAATTATCGAACATCTTTAAGAAATTCTAGAAATTTTAAATATAGAAAGTTGTGTTGTTAACGACTTAAGAGTCATTCAGCTTAATTATGCAGCACCTCAAATATGTCAAAATCCACATCTCGACATCAAAGAAAATGGTATTAAATGTACAAAATGTATTTTACAGTGAAGGTTAACATATATGCATAATAATGTGTTCATTCGGAGTTAAATTTGAAAAATGAATTCACAATGTTTGTATGCAATTTAAACGTCTATGCTGGGGACATCAGAGGTACATTATATTGATATTGACCCATATAACAGAAGAAAGTGTTGTTAAAAGGAAGTGGGGTGGGACAGTGTTTTTGTACTGTTTTCATTTTGTTACAGGACAAACAGAATTTACTAACGAATGCTTTCTGTTTTATTAGCATTTCACATACTGTCCCAACTTTTTTGAAAATGCCAAAAAGTGCCAAATGTAAACCCAGCAATGATTTAGGATTTTACCATTTGCCTTCTGAAAACAGCAGTTTTATTTTAAAGCTGCTTCTTTGCTATATTTAGCATATAGCTTTTTTAGATTTAACTGATTAAATTAAAAAATCAGATATTACTATTTGTGAGCTCTTGCTGTTGTGGGTTTTCTTTTTGGGCAAAGATGAAAAATGTACAGAATTCGAAACTTTTAGATGCCGTGTCTGTTTTTTTTTCTATTGTAAAAATAAATTAATATTAATAATAAATTCCCAAACTGTTCCAGTTACTGGGATTAGTAATTTTCTTTAGTTTAGAAATGGTAGGTGGACATTTTTCTCACTGTGCTACAACAAATTTTCTATTCTAGCTCCAGTTCTACCTGCTCCTAAAGTTTATTTACGTTTATTTATTTTATTATGCAATCTTTATTAAGGATTTTGTGTGTTATATCATTAAAATATTTTAAAAGGAAAAAACAAGAATTGTGCAAAATAACGTGTAATGTGTATTTACACATTCTTATTCTTTTAATTGAAATTTTTTAAATCTTTCTAACCTTTGTTTTCTTATGGATGCCAGTTGGTGTTTCCTGTATGGCCCAGCCTTGCATTGCACATTTCTTTCTTTTATTCTTTCTTGTAAATTTATTTAAAAAACACCGTTGAATCTGTGGAGGGCTGTGCAAATCTCCTTGACCTCTGACCCAGGCTGTTGTTGCTATACGGATGTTGTGGAATATTAGCTCAGGAAGCTGTCCCAGCCACACTGACTGTGATGGCGACCAACATTGAACAGATTTTCCGGGACTTTGTTATGAATAAAATAAAAGAAATAGAGGACGAAAGCCAAGATAAGAGGTGACTTGTACCATCAGTAGCTGTCTTATTACTCACTGTAGACCTCGGTTTAGCAACGTTACTAACAGCTGGCTGGCCAGGCTAAACAACTAACCTTAGCTTCTTAGCTAGCTAGCTACCTAACCGAATGTAATTTAGGCTATATGCTCGCTTTGCAGCAAGATAAAAATAACTTTTAATCAGTACTGATGTTATGGAGGCGTGTATGAACATGGACAATGTTATTAAATAATGTTTCATACAATTGAATATTGAATAGTCGCCCTGGTCCTGCACCAGAGCTCGTTTTGATGGCTATGGGTAACTAGCATTTTCTTAACTGGACACCAGACTACAGGTTTCATCGCCCCAACTGCAGTCTGAGAGCCAGGCGAAGCTAACAGTTGCACTAGTATAACTAGCTAACTGTTACAGTACGAAGATCATTTAATGTAACGCCCAGCTGAACGTTGACTGTGAAATAGCTAGCTAGCTAGCTGTGTGATTTCCTGGCGATGTTTTGCTTAGCCTTTACTTTTCGTTTACTGAGCTGGTTAGCTATTTTTAGCTAGTTACTGTTAATGACAAGAATATAATGGCAACCAAATTGCCCACTTGATGTAACTTAGCTGGAAATTAACTTTTACGGGCATGATGCCGGTTTGACGTAATTTATTTAGAAAGTGCTGCAGCTTGTCAGCTGTGTAGGTCGATAAGTCATTTACAAGGTTACAGTTTGTAGACTGCTGAAAAGTTTCGATGTTGCAAAGTTTTAACAAACTTGCATTCCTAGGTCAAATTGGTTGTATTAATAAAAAATTGAAGAGTGGCCTATGGTCTTGAGACCAGTTTAAGTGTGAACATTGCAAGAAACTGTCATATCAGTTGTCTGCGAACTGAGTACTGTAAAGAATAAAGAGCTACAGAGGCATCTAATTTCCTTTCAAAGTGTGAGTGACTGACTCCATTTGGGTAAAATAGTTATTATTTGATGATACCATTTTAATGATGACAAGACTGCCAGTATTAAGATAAGTTTTTATTGAATTATTTGTGCACTTGCGAGCACAACCACACACACAGCATAGTATTGGTTGACAGGATTTGACACATGTAATAGGATTATATGAGAAAACACCTACACAGGCCTACTGTTTCTATACAATTATTTTAAAAATGCAGTGAAGAAATACAGTGACCAATCTGGTTTTTTTTTTTTTTAGCAGGGTTGTTGAATACTGCAACTATCTAACGCTATCTATCTGTACAGTTCCATCATCTGAATTTTGGGCAGAGTGATATGAGTAGATGTGAAATATTTCATCAACATTCCCCACAGGAAAGTAATAAACAGTTGTATAATATGTAAACTAAGTGAGTGAATAACTAAAGCTATTATTATTGTTTTTTTTCAGTCGTACAGGCCAGGTGGATTCTAATGATAGAGAGTCGCTCTCTGACTGGGGGACGGGAATAAATAAAGAAGCACCTCCTGTGGAAACGATTAGTAAATTGTCAGGTGAGTCAGCAGTGCGTTCCTCAGATAGCTCTACTCAACAGAAACTCTAATATAAGATGACCTATTTTTCCCATTCTCCCTTTTGATAAAGTTACAAATCCTAGCTGCCAGGACAACAGTGCCAAAGATGAATTCAATACTAAACATAAGAAAACTAAAAAGCACAAAAAACACAAAAGCAAAAAGAAGAGGAAGAAACGTAAGGAGGAGAAGGAGAGCAGCTCAGAGACAGAATCAGATGGGGAAACTCAAGGAAGGTAAGACACATTTATAACCGCTACTGATACTTCAGTTGTGTAGTTATATATATATATTTCTTTGTCTGCTTAAAGACAGTTACCTGTTTGTACGTAGACTACATCTAATCAGCAGTGTGTTTTGAGTTTTAAAACACTGTCCAAAGGGTCAGACAATTTTCACAAATAAGACCTGTCACTGCTTCTTCAAACTCTGACTGTACGTTCACACTAGCAGATGGCTAGCAACTAGAAGTCACTAATGTTGCCTCAAGTTTGTCTTTTCTGAACAAATATTTAGCTATTAGTGTATTTTGAATCATAAGCCTTAAAGCATCTGAATTCTTAAATGGTCCACTGTGTTTGTAAAATGTATTGTAAATTCTATAGTGTGAAGAAGAAGAAAAGAAAGAAAAAGAAGAAACAGAAAAAAGGAGACAAAGTAAAAAGGTCTGGATCACGATCTGAAAGCTCTTCAGTTTCTGAATCTGAGTCTGAGTATGAATCAAAACCTTTCAGTGAAACTACCAAATCTTCAACTGGAAAGATGTTGTCAAAGTCTGAACTCTGTGATGGGGGTAATTTTAAGATTTCTCAAGAACTGCCTGACATTGTTCCTAAGCTGGACACTACTACTGACAAAAACAAAAAAATTGAAGGAGGCAATGAAAGAAGCTCTAGTCGCTCTAGCACGTCCAGACAAGAGAGGAGTTTGAGAGCACGGTGCTCCCCTTCCAGATCAAGCAAACGGAAATCAAGGCATAGATCCAGATCTCAGTCACTCAGACGATCCCAGAGATCAAAGTCAAAATCTCGTTCAAGGAAAAGTCCCAAAAGGAAGTCTCCACAGCAGAGACACAGAAGTAGATCCAGGTCAAGATCACAAAGATGCAGTAGGCAGTCCAGATCTCATTCAGCCAAAAAAAGCAGACATTCAAGGTCCAGGTCAATGTCTAGACGAAGTAGATCAAGGTCTACTCTGATCTTAAAGAAGAACAGGAGATCTCGATCAAAATCTAGGTCTGTTTCACATCACCGTTCCAGGCATTCAAGGTCTAGGTCTCGACTACGGGCAGGACATTCTACATCAAGGTCCCGGTCAAAATCTAAGTCTTTTCCAAAAGATAACCAAATTAAGACTGAGATACAAAAGAATGACATGGTTCCAGAATTAAAGAATGAGGTTAGCTCTGCAATAGAAGCTGGAACAAAAAATATAGACAAAGATGGAAATCAGACACTGGCAGTGAATACTGGCAGCACTGTCAAAGATGGCACTATTAGTGATGGCCAAGTTAAGGGATCATGGCGACCGGTTCCTTTCTTGGATAACAGCTCTTCTACTATCATTTCTGGCTCTTCTGAGACCAAGCCTTCAGTGGAGTGCATTACACCTGAGCTGCCTTTGGATATGAAAGATATTTCTGAAGATACCTCAGATAGATCTAAAGATCTGGGTGATGTTCTTAGGACTGTAAAGAAAGAAGAAATTACTAATGTACAACTTAAAGACACTCAAGTAGTTAAACATTCCAAGTCAAGATCGAAGTCCACATCTCCAACTCCACAAAGGCACTCAAAATCAGTCTCAAGAAAAAGATCAAGATCCAGATCTCCTAGAAAAAGGAGGCGGTCTAGATCATCCTCCAAGAACAGCAAGAAAACATCCAAGTCATCTCCTTCACGTAGGAAAAGATCTAAATCCAGAACACGGAATAGGCATTCTGAATCCAGATCGCCAAAAAGGAAAAAGTCAAAGTCCCACTCGCCAGATCGAAGAAAGAGGTCTAGGACCCCAGACAGAAGTAGACGGTCAAGATCAAGACATAGATCATGCTCACGGTCGAGAAGATCTAGATCTGGCTCTCGTCGAAGAAGAGGAGGTTTCAGGAGCCGAATGTTTAGTCAACGTGATCGATGGAAGAGAGAACCAAGTCATTCCCCTGTCCTCATTTTGCGGAAGAAAAGATCAACTTCTCGAACTCGTCGTAGCTCCAGCAAGACACCCCCACGCCTTACTGAGCTTGGTAAGAAAACATTTTTACCTTAAAGTCCTTTTATTAATAATAAAGATTTTGGTGTTGCAACATTGCCCATATGATCACTGTCAGTTTGAAACTACATGTCACAGTGAAATAACAGGTCTGTCATGAGCGGTGTGCAGTTAGGGCAGCACTAATCATTAACTTAATCATGGTAAAACAGCTGAGTGGATGAGAGCAGAAGGTTCTGCTGAACAATTCTGTTTGTCTGCTAAATTTGACTAGCATTGCGCAGTTCTTCTGATGTGGTAAGAACATGAACAGGCCACAGACAAACAATCACAAATTTTACCATTTTATATTCTATATTTTTTAAAACTCTCGTAGAACTGCTCGTATTTGTAAGAAATTCTATTTAGTCAAAAGTGTGAATTTTTCTAAAAAAATCTAACTTCAAGCTGAACAATTTGTGGAAAGTAAAAATGTCTAATTGCATTGTTATCTAAACAATATTACGATTGCATTTAAATGTGATTATTTTTCATACTTCAGGCATAATGTAGTGTGCCAGAATGGCAGTTCACAAGTTCTGTGTTATTAAATTAAATTTTTGCACTTAAAATTTAAGACAACAGTGAATAATTTATAATAAATTTAAAATTGCATCTCATGCCATTTAAAAATTGCACTCAAACTGTGACTTTGATATGAAAACAACTAATAGTTCAGTCCTACCTGAAAACAGTACATGTTCTCTGAACCTCCATTTTTTCTTTTTGTGTGATTGTTGTATCTATTAGCAAGCACCCGAACATAGTGAGGTTGTATTTACTAATTAACCGTCTGGTATGTATGTGAACATGTATGCTCTCATTTATTGTCAGTAATAAGCACTGCTGAGACAGCTAGCTAGCTAGTAGCTAAAATGCTAACAGAGCTATTCACATTATTATTTTAAAAATAATAATATATTTTTTTATTTTATTTAAAATTCATTACAGCCCTAATATGCATACTGTTGTACTTTAAAGTTTCAGAAGGTCTTTAAAAACATGTTTAGTCTTTGACGTCTTATGTATGCTGTTGCCTTCTCTTTACAGACAAAGACCAGTTGCTCGAAATTGCCAAGGCTAATGCAGCTGCTATGTGTGCTAAGGCTGGGATGCCAGTTCCAGAGAGCCTTAGGCCCAAAGCCATCCTTCAGCTACCTTTACCAACCCCAAATCCCACTCCTTTATCCTTACCCCTTCCCTTACCTGTTAATCTCCCAATGGGTGTACAAGGGATGTCAAACATGACCATGAATGCTGCTATGGCTAGCATGACTGCTGCCACTATGACTGCTGCTCTGTCCAGCATGGGAGCCCTTGCCGCCATGCCACAGTTGGCCCCATTGCCCACAATCACCAACAAGCCTCCACCTTCAGCCACACCAAATCTGGCTTCTATTGAGGAAGCTAAAAGAAAAGTGACAAAGCAAGCAAACAGCTATACTATCAAGGAGCTAACAGAAGTAAGTGCTAATCTTCTTAAACGATTATCTGATTTGCAACCGTCATTTTTGCATACTTCTTTTTTCACACCAGGTAATATTGAAATATATAAATTTTGTCTTTCCCTTCAGAAATGCAAGAAGATTGCAGAGAGTAAAGAGGAGATGGCCATTGCAAAACCGCATGTGTCAGATGATGAAGAAGATGAGAAGCCTTTTGGAGGACTTGCCCTGAAGGAGAATAAGGGCATCACTTTCAGTCTCAGTGTATGTATCTCACTCAGAAGTAGATAAATGGATAGATGCTAAGGATTTACAAATCTACGCTATACATGCGATATAATTCCAGGTAATCCTTAATGAGATTTTTAAAATGTGCAAATAAATATACAAATAATGTTACTATTTGCTGTGAGTAGGAAAGGCTCTTTGATGCAACACAGCTATACAGTTGTATCAGTCTTTGTGGCTGACTGTTGATATTTTTCAGTTCTCTGAAAGCAAACACTGATTCTTAACTGGCTTAGCTGATCATTTTGTGGTTTGAGGTATAGAAGTGAAAATGTGCTCAACTTCCTGAATGGTTAAAGATAAACTGTTACAGGCTACGTAAGAATTACGTTGATTATTAGTTTTTTAAAAAAAAAAAAACATGTAAACCATTAAACTGATTTGTAATTTGCAAACAGTTATTCTTCAATCATTTCACCTAAACCTAAATCTGCTGTAACCCCCTTCCTCTCCTGTGCCACCATGTCCTATCCCCCTTCCTTCAGAACCCCTCGGTGAAACCAGCTGTGAGATCAGAGGCTGCCTTTGCCAAGGAGTTCCCAGTGTCTTCAGGTTCACAGCACCGCAAGAAGGAAGGAGATGGAGCGTATGGGGAATGGGTGCCAGTGGATAAAAAGAATGACAAGGCAGGGTCTTCATCAGCTTCTGCTGGGGCTGAGGATCAGAACAAAGATAATGACAGTGTTTTTCCTGATGCACCTTCACAAGTTAGTTCTCACTGCTAATATAAAACTGCTTTGTTAAATTAAAGTTCTATACAAACTTTAACCTTTGTTCTTCTGTGACTTTAGCCGGTGGATATCACCCTGGCGGTCAGTGAAAGGGCAGTAGCCCAGAAGAGACTGGCAGAGAACCCATTTGACATCAATGCCATGTGTATGCTTAATCGTGCTCAGGAGCAGGTACGTTTCATTCACTGCAGCACAAGTTATATATAATAAGGGTTATATACAAATTGGATAGACTGCGTAAAACTCCACATTACTAAAGATGGCACCTGCTAAATTATCTTAGCGTCACTGTTAAAGGGATGCTTCTGCCAAAATTAAAAATTTATCCATTGCTAGAGCTGTTTTAAACATCTCCATTTACAACAGCTCTAGCGATGGGTAAATTTTAAATTTTGGCTGGAGCATCCCTTTAACAATGATGCAAAGGTAATTTAGCGGACAGTGTTATTATGAATGTGGAGTTTTATGCAGTGCTGCAGTAACTTCTGGAATGCGATTTTCCTAGTTTAAGACTACATAAACCACTTTTGGCATTCATTTTGTGCCTAATAAAAATAGAAATGCTGACCGAGGTAAGTGTTATACCTGTGCTTTCTTGGTTGTATTTGCTAGCCTGTAGATCAGTCAAGATTAGAAATCTCTGTGGGGTAAAGCAATGGTTGTATGATGCATTTGCAAAATGTATGTTGGGTATTGTAGTGAGAGAACATGGATAAATACAAAAGATACAAAATTGTGAATTCTGTCAAACCGTTAAGGCTGTGGAAAACAGTGCTGCACTGCAGAATAACAGGATAAATAACATATTAAACTAGTTTTAGGCCAGATTGCCCTTTGTTAGTGGACAACACAGCTGGTGTCAGATCACTGCTAAACAAAAATAGCCTAATTTTCAGTTATTCAAAATCAAGCTGAAATTACACTGTATTTGTCTTTTTTTGTTGTTTTGTTTTGTTTTTTTTAATGCCTTATCCCAAAAGTTTTTAGTCTGGAAAAACTTTGAGCTGGGTAATGCATTGTTTCCATGTTGGAGTCGTGGAGCTCATTGGACCTCGATGCAACAACATGTGACTCCAGCATGCTGGTTTCAAAATGTTAAAATATAATAAAAGAATAAAATATGCAGAGGCACTAAAGGAGACTATTGCAGATATTATGTCTGAACCCAGCATGAATATTTGAACACTGCCAGGTTCAGAAAGATTCAAGCTGTGGTCACTGTGAACATAGAATACATTCTTTTTAATTCTGATTTGGACTGCAAATAGAGGATGTAGCATTTCAAGAGTACAAGAAAAAGAATTGCATTAAGTGAGTAATTATAGTCTCTCAGTCTGAATGTAACTTAGTTCTTTTTTTCATTAAACATGATTTGTTGTATTTTTAGGTGGATGCTTGGGCCCAGTCCAACACAATCCCTGGTCTCTTCACTGGTTCCACAGGTGCTCAAGTGCTCTCATCTGAAGAGCTGTCCAACAGTGGCCCTCAGGCTTGGATCAAGAAGGTAAAGCAATGTCCCAGTTCTGCCATATTGATCAGGACACTGGATCTATATGATGGTTGAAATTTGGTGTGTGTGTGTTTAAATTTGTTTGGCACAGGAGAGACTCTGACTTATGGTGTATGTAATAAGGCATACAAAGCAGTCACTCTTTCCCCAACACAATTCTTTTTCTCCATTCTTACCATTGGCAGCTTGAATTAGATGTTTTTTCCCTGTAGCAGATTTTAAGGGCAGTACATGTTCTCTTGACTTTGCCCACAAGCATATATGTAACATAGAACAACATGGAAAATGAAATAACATCCCACCTCTCATGCATCTCATCAGAGATACATGAACATCGTCATCTGTTTTGTCTTTGCTGATTGCTGTACCCAGTCTGCAGTTCAAAGAGCCGCTTATTTGAATCTCATCTCAAGCATTACTTGAGGCCCAAGCTTTGTTGTTCCATGCTGACAATCAAGATGCAGCCAGTATTAACTTTTTTAATGAAGTGACGTCAAAGTAACCCAGGAAACTGGTAAAGTAAGCAAGGAAACTGAACGTCAAAGTAGCCAGGTGTCAGGTTTCCATCAGTGAATTCAACATAAAGATGAAAAAGGTTTTTTCAATATAAATGCATGTTAGGGTTGGGAACCTTATAAAATGCCTGAGAAGCAAAAGTGAATTCCACACCATTAAAGGTTTAAAAAAGGTTCAAATTAGGGGCTCCCGAGTGGCGCAACCGTCTAAGCGTTGGCCCTATCATCAGGAGATCGTGAGTTCGATCCCTGGTGATGCTACAGCCATCCGTAGCCGGGAGTCTGAGAGAGCACAATTGGCCTCGCTCTCTCTGGGTGGGTAGGATGGCCCCTCCTTCTCCCCCCATCACTCAGCGCGATGCTAGTCAGCGCAGGCGTCTGTTAGCTGACGTAACAGGTCTGGCGGTTGGCGCTTTCCTCCGAGCGCGTTCGGCTGTCCAGTGATGCTGCGTGAGCGGCAGTTCGAAAAGAAGCGGTGGTTGGCTTCACAGGTCTCGGAGGAAGCCTGTGTTAGCCTTCACCCTCCTAGTGTTGATAGCATTGTGTGACTGGGGGAGTCCTAACTAGCGGGTGGAATTGGAGACGACTAAATTGGGGAGAAAAATTGGCTAAAAATTTAAAGGTTTAAATTGACATTCACTTAGCTGTGCCTTGCAGTAAAGTTCAGTTGATGATAGCCCCACTGCCATTTAGAGACCTTAGAAAAACAACCACCTAAACCCTAAACATACAGCTATACATGTTTAAGTCAAGTTGAAGTTTATGTATATAGCGCTTTTTACAACAGGCAGTGTCACAAAGCAGTTTTGTAGAGAAATCCAGGTTAAAGCCCCCATGGGCAAGCCAGTGGCGACAGTGGCAAGGAACTCCCTGCTTATTTTTCCTCCATGGAGCTCCGGAGTCGTCAATATGTTTATCATTAACCGTTAATTTCTATGAAACAAATTGATGCAAACAGTTTTTGGGAGATATATATTTCTAACAAAGCAAGTAGCAACACATTTGGGAAGAAAATATAATAATTGGATTGGAAAATATAATAATCTGTGTTTGTAAATGTACTAGATTAGTAAACAAGTGTTAAAGTGCATCAGAAGCATTAATTTAAGGTAGAACTGATTCACAATAAGTGTTTTATTGGAGTTGCAGTAAGGATCATTTGTATGCTTTCACAGCAGTCAGAAAGGAGTATGTATGAGGAATCAAAATGTACAAAGTGTTTTGATCCTAGTGGAACATTTTATATAAGGATTCTCAATACCCAACTCTAATGTGTATATACATATCTGTTCATATATCAGACCTGTTAGGGCTACCGCACACTGGCTGCACCACACAGCGATGCATAGTATTATGTAGTAGATACTACAGAAGTGCAACTATACTGCTATATAAGCATAAGAGTAAGAGCACAGATAAAACATCAGGCTCAAATTCACTTTGCTCTCATCACACTCACAGCTCTCAAAAACATTTAGTTAATTAATCACCATTGGCAGCAGCTAACTCTTCACAAGCTCACCGTTTTTTGAGGTAAAGTGCACAACGTGAGAAAAGCCACATTGTGACTAGGCTCGTAACAGTAACTGCATTCTCAGTGAAAATTTAAGCCTCATGTTGTTCTCTATGGCTTTTTTAGCTCTGGTTCTGTTTAATCTAGTGCAGTAATAGCAAAATGCTGAGTGGCGAGCTGTGGTGCTTAGAGAAATTGAGCAGTGCTGGAAGTCATAGAATAGAGACATGGATCAACTATGAATGTTGCCGGCAATGTGTGCCCTTTCATTAAAAACAAAGATTTTTAATTTATGTGTCCAGTGTGCTGTTATCTTAACAAATCTCACTAATTGAATTGACTGTTTACATGAGATTTCTCTTTGTGGAGTGGGTACACCTTTACAGCAGAGTCATGCAGATGTGTTTTATTTTGTGTGAAATTCTATTGTAGCAGGTGCATTGCAGGAGGGGCATCAGACTTCAGGGGTTGACTATAGCCTACTTAGAAAGTCTTCTTTGAAAGAGGGGAGGAAGGAAGAGGACTTGAAGCAAGTCTCCTGGCACCCTCTTCTTGATTGAGACTGGAAACTCAAAATGGGTAAAAAGAAAGAAACAAATAAATTCTAGTAGTACTGAAAGGTCCTTCTAGCCAGATTCAGATTTCTCTCATACCACTTTAAAAGTACACATTCCATTTTTATTCCAAAAGATGAATGTATGCCACCAGGTATAGCAATTACTCCGACCCTGCCATGCATGATGTTTACTGTTTTAGGTAAGAGACGTATTGTCCTGAAGACTTTGGATGCTGGTTACTGTTTAACACGATTCTGAGCTTTATATTTGGGTGTGGTAATCCCATGTTTTGTTTTTTTTTTATATAGAGTTCTTTAGAGCTAAATAAATAGTGTAAAAATGCCATACCCTCCACTAAGAGATGCCGTGGCATTCACACACCCAGAGAGGGCACACAGTCTGTTTGATCAGTGGAGTGACATAGCCAACTTCACTTAGTTACCACACAAACTTTAGACTGTAGTCATGAGATTCTGGACCAGCCAGTTTATCAAAAGGTCGATATACTCCTGTCCTGTGATGTTGACTACTACCAGTTATAACAGTTGTTTGACACTTTATTTGCAAGTGTGATCTAAACTGATCAAATGTTTAGTAAGTGTTTAGCTGGACAGGACAAAACATGCCTACATTACTGAGTGTAAACCTATGCTAGGGGTTCATAATATATCATTTGGTAAAGGGGAATTCCACGTTTTTTTATTATTATTATTTCTGCATAATTCAATGTTTAAAATGTAAATGAACAAATTCTGAGTGGTTTGATGTGGAAAAAAAAAATTGAGAGTTGTTCATAGTGGTGGTGATTGGAACCTGATGTCTGAAGCCTTAAATGCCTTTACAAGCTACCTTACCTTTTGGATAGTAAATAAAATGGCTATATGTGCGTTGTAGATGTTGCAACCCCTGGTTCCTATCACCACCATTGCAAAGAATCTCAGTCGGTACATTTCTCTACAGTGCACCATGTTTCATCAATTCACCATAAATGACTTTGTTTATATGAAAAATCATTGAAATTCTCTTTTAATTCTTACTGCAATATCAGTCTTCCCAATACTGATGACAAGAAAGTCTACAATATAGAAAAGAATGTCTTCACAATGTCCAATCACAAATGTTCTCTGTGTTTTGATGAATCAAGCTAGTCCAGTAATCCAACAAACGTAAATCATTTGGTCAAAATAATGTTGAACTATTTCACATCAGCATCATATATTGCTAGTTATATTCCAATATGTTATGATGTATAATCACAATAATATACTTCCCTGTGTCATATAGCTGTAGCCTATATGGACACTAACATTTGCACAGGGTCCAGCAAACACCCTAATTTTGCTTGTAATGATTATGATTTAAAGCAGTTGTTCTCAAACTGGTCCTCAGGGCCCCCCAAACAGTCCATATTTTCACTCGATCTCAACTGTCAACACAGGGATAGAACAAAAATATGGACCATCTGAAGGCCCTGAGGAACAGTTTGAGAACCAGTGTTCTAAAGAATGTTTGATGCCTTTTTTGGATTGGGGTTTCAACAGCGGTTTGGCATCTATTGTCAATATCAACATGTCTGGGTGCAGGGTTCCAAACCACTGAGCTGTTTTGCCCTGCTTGTGGAGGTGTTGAGGTGGGGCACAAACGCAAGAGGGGTGGGGGTTCACAGTCTTAACTGTGAACTCTCACCCCTCTATATGGAAACTTGTTGCAGGGTCAGTCCTTGTAGCTGCCTTGTTGCCATGGTCACTGTCAGGCCCCTTCTATTCACGTCAGATGCAGAGCCGATGATGGGGGCCTAGGTACGTACGTCATACAGCACCCTATTTCTTTTCATTTGGATTTGTGTCCACTCTGATGCAATCTGCCATGCCTTTTTGTGTGTTTCAGCTGAACCAAGGGTATTGATACCATATCAAAGGTGGTATTGATACCTTTTAGAGGAAAACCATTTCAGTATATACTTAATTTTTGGAGCATTTAAAATATTGCTTCTTAAACTATACTTTTATAGGTGAATTAGGAGCTGGGTGTGATAAATTCCCATGTTGCAAAGTAATGCTACCATTTTAATATATAATTAATATTTGTAGCTCTTAAAATATGGCCTCTTGTTCAGTTATTTAAACAATGCAGAATATATTGGTAATTGCTGACATAATCCACAGGTGGATTAGGAGGAACAAATTACTCAGTTAAATATTTAAGGACCTTTTGATTTTTCATTTCATTTCATTGAAAAGTCTTTGAAATTCCAGAAGGTAGCCAGTAGAATTATCCAGATCTGTTAGTTTGATGTTGGTTACAAATTACTTATGCTTACTTACTGTTGGTCAGTACTTACTTACTGTTGGTCTGTGAGTTCTTACTATTTCCTCTTTGCTTGTCTGCCTTTTTTCTTTCTCTGTCTCCTTCTGCCCATGTCTGTCCCCTCTCCATTCAGGACCAATTCCTTCGTGCTGCACCAGTCTCTGGGGGCATGGGAGAGTTGCTGATGAGGAAGATGGGTTGGCGTGCTGGCGAAGGCCTTGGCAAACACAGGGAAGGCACAGTGGAGCCCATTGTGATTGACTTTAAAACTGACCGCAAGGGTGAGCCCATCACATCTATTTTTTTCAGTCTTTTAAAACAAATATTCAATTAACAATAAGGGTCAGATTTAATTTTTTTTAAACTGAAAGCCTGCTGTCATGAAAAGACTGTCCTGAACATTTTTCTTTTGAACCTATTTTTTTTAAATATAAATGTTTTAAATAAATAACTTTTTTTAGGGCTGTCAATTTATTGTTAAAAGATTTTAAAGGTTTTAAATTCTTTGGGTGTCTGGTTTCTGTGACACCACTATAAAGAAGATTTTTCCTAACAGTCTAGTAACTTTTTTTATGGGCTAAATGGTAGTGTGGTTGGCCTTGTTAGTGTTAAGCTTACACACTGTGCACAGCATCTCTGGTATGGGTGGGTCAAAAACAGATTTTTGCTTGAGGGGATAAAGTTTCCTAACCACTTCATACATACATGCCTACTTCCGCTTTGCTAGAATTTTGAATGATTCCTCACACTGCAAACGATTACAAACAACAAACAACACCACTGGCTACATTTAACTTGAAGCACAACTGCTTAGGACTGTATCAAGTACAGTGTCTCACCTGAAAATGTCCAAACATCAAGTGATTTTCACCACTGCTGTCCCAACTTGGCATCTTACTTTCCCAGGGCACTCGGGCAATAGTTAATGTTGACTCCTGAACAAGTTGGTTGGTTTCTACATGTAATAGATCATGCATTTGGTTTGTCTATGAAGGATTAGTAGCAGAGGGTGAGAAGACCCAGAAATCTGGCAACTTGGTGGTGATGAAGGATCTTCTAGGTGAGTTCATTTGTTTGTTTACGGTCATGTGAAAAGCACTCCATGAAATGTTTGGGGGGGGTTAAGCATATCAGAATGTGAGCATATCAATATGTGATCATCAGCTAAACAGTATGATAACTGTAGGTAACGGTAACTGTAAAAAAACAAAACAAATTTGCTTTTGCAATCATTCATTTAAAAATAAATTAACATGTCTTTTTTTTCTTGAAAAAGTAAGAACACCTCTGGTTTCAGTAACTGGCATTGAAACAGCTTTATGTAGGTGTTTCTTAAAAACAGCCTAGCAGTTTCTGGCATCTACTGGGAGACATTATTGCCCACTACTTCATGCAGAATTATTACAACGGCGCAATGTTTGAGGGGTTTCTTGTATGAACAGGCCATTTAAAATTCCCTCACAGCATTTCAGTAGAATTCAGATCTGGGCTTTGACAAGGCCATTCCACAACTCTCAATTTCTTCTTTTTGAGCCAGTCCTTGGTGGATTTACCTGTATGTTTATGATTTTTATCCTTTCGGAAGGTTCACTTCTTCAGCTTTAATATTTTGGGAAATGGCCTCACATTCTCCTCAAACACTTTCTGGTATGAAAGTGTGGCCAGACAACTCTATCTTTAACAAGCCTGTCCATAACACATTGTTCCAGTAGTCCTGGTCCTTGCCTAGATACTAATTAGTGAATTTTAGTCTTGCCTGGATGTTCTTTTTAGACAGGAAATGCTTCTTCCTGGTACACTTGGCATGTAGGTCAAATTTGTGCTTTCTCATTCTAATTGTAAATGCATGCACTTTAACACCCAGAGTGCTGCTTGCAGACCTTGTAATGAAATTTTGGGGTTCTTAAAGACTTCTTTTAGCATCTTATGGTCTGTTCTCTGGTTAAATTTGCTGGTGCGGCCTGGCCTGCACATTTTGGCAGTGGTTTTAAATCTTCTCTGCTTGTAGATGATCTTCTGAACAGTTGAAGGATTGATTTCTATTATTTTGAAAACACTTCTCAAACCCCTTCCCAGACTCATGGGCATCTACAGTCTTCTTTTTGAAGGCTTTAGAGAGCTCCTTTGATAAGCCCAAACTCCAGTAACAAGGAGTGAGCCAGACCAGGTATCTGAGGTTTAAATAAGATGAGTTCCTCAAAGATATTTTTAACGGTGTAATTGTTAATACCAGATCAGGTGCACCTGATTTCTGTTTGACACATTTGAAGAAGATATAGCCGTGACGTTATTTGCGATAACACACAACCTCGAGTGTTCTATTGCTTTTATACAACAGTTAAATAAATAAAGTAAGAAATAAATAAATTGGGCCATGAACGTGTCATTTAACATGTTTTAATGTTAGCAGTTCCTTCTGCCAAATTATAGTTCCGTAACAAGCAGCTTGTTGCCTACGTCAGAGTAACGAACTCCGCTCACTCGCTGCACAGTATGCTCTAAGCCTCGCATTTTGAAGTATGGCCTGAGCCATAAAACTGCTGTAATATCAAGTTTAGCTCAGTGTTGTCTTTTTTTGCTAGATCAATGGTAATGTTTTTTTATTCCAGCCAGTCTGTAAAGCATTTTACAGCCCATTTTGTTTGGCGAATGGTATTCGGTTAATTTCTGGCTAATTCCAGGTTGTTTAGGTGTTCTTCTGTCACAGCTGCCGACTGAAAAGCTGCTCAGTCGTAATGACAGTTTCAGAATTAGTGTAGTCTCATCCTCAGAGTCTGACCAAATTGGTCGTAGGTCAAATGTAATCTTAAGTGTCCATTTTCTGTTTGTGCGCAAAGTAAGAAGTAAAAACGTTCAAATGGCGTGAGCGTCTCCTACAGCTGTCAAAGTCATTGCTTAGCAACGGCGTCTCAGGGGAGTGATACAGTGTTTGAAAAAAACGTGATGTTATGTGGTGTTTCACTGCACGGATGGGTTAAATCCGGAGGTGAAATTTCCCCATTGTGGGACTAATAAGGGTCACTTAATTTTAATCTTAGTTGTGGTGAAATAACAGCACAGTTAGAACGCTTCTTAACCAATCAGCTCGTTTGGCGTGTGATTGATATATATATATATATATATATATATATATATATATATATATATATATATATATTAGGGCGTGCTTATTTTTCTCCACATAAGGAAATTGCATTTCTCTTTATTTCAGTTACATAAAGGATGACAAAAAAATGTTCATTTTAGGTGTCACTTGTTGAATTACATCAATTCAACAAGAGTCTGAGCCCATTAAATCGGTGTGCTGACATAAGCTAGTTGTAAATAAATCAGTGTCTGTATGTTTTTCTCAAGAACAAAAAGAAAAAGAATATCGGCTTTTTAAATCCTCAAATATTGAAATCGGTATCTGTCTTAAAATTCCTGTATGTGTCGCACTCTTTTATCAACACTGTTTAAATGAAGACCGAATATCTGTGCGTTGCAAATATGCTAAACTTTTCATGAGGTGTACTTGCGTCTTCACATGACTGTATGTATGTGATTTTGATTTTCTTAAATAATAGTTTTGTTTCCTCCTTGTCTGCTTTGGCTCCTGATCCTTACACGTGTGTTGCAGGGAAACACCCAGTGTCTGCTTTAATGGAGCTGTGTAATAAGAAGAAGTGGGCACAGCCAGAGTTTGTCATGGTGCTCCACACTGGCCCTGACCACCGGAAGAACTTCCTCTTTAAGGTTTGTAAACAAATTTTTATGTGTATGTGTTTTCTTTTAATGAAATAGATGAAATTAATGCTTTAATATAAATGTCTTATTAGAAGAGGTGGGTGTATGTATATGTATCATTATATAGATATTTTCACAATAAACTTTTCCAAGTATAACATAAGTAACATCATTACTTCTACAGCACTGCTTGTATCATAAACAGTGTTGGAAAGTAACAACATGCATGCGATTTATCAGCACTGTCATTTTTATCAAGTACCTGTTTTTAGAAAGTATTTCTTTTGAAAAAAAATACTTTCACTCAACTACATTTCACAGTAAAATATCCTTACCTCACTCTTTTCTTTTTTTTAATATGCAGTGAAGTAACAGCTAGATTTTATGATTCACTTTCACAATACCAATCCCTACTCTGACTCAAGTACTGGATTTGTGTGCCTCGTCCACTGCTGACCATAAAAATACAGATTAACGCTAATTATAAAAAGTCTGTAAACAACAGCCAGAACACACTGACTGGCCACTTCATTAAGTACCTTGTATCTACTTTCTTTGTCCATTTTATCAGCACCACTTACTGTATAGGTGCACTTTGTAATTCTGCTATTACAGACTGCTGTCATCTGTTTCTCTGCCTACTATGTTGGCCCCCTTTCACTCTGTTCTTCAGGGTGGTCAGGCCCCCCCAGGACCACTACAAAGCAGGTATTATTTGGATGGTGGATCATTCCTAACACTGCAGTGACACTGACGTGGTGGTGGCATTTTAGTGTTTTGTGCTGGTACGAGTGGATCAGACAAAGCAGTGTTGCTAAGTTTTTAAATGCCTCGGTGTCACTGCTGGACTGAGAATAGTCCATCAACCAAAAATATCCAGGCAACAGTGTCCTGTGACCACTGATGAAGGACTAGAGGATGACTAACACAAACTGTGCAGCAACAAATGAGCTAATGTCTCTAAGTTTACATCTACAAGGTGGACCAACAAGGCAGGTGTGTCTAATAGAGTGGACAGTGAGTGGACACAGTGTTTAAAAACCTGCCGTGTCTGATCCATTTGTATCAGCCCAACGCACACTAACACACCACCACCACGTCAGTGTCACTGCAGTGCTCAGAATGATCCTCCACCCAAATAATACCTGCTCTGTGGCGGTCCTAACCATTGAAAAACAAGGTAAAAGGGGGCCTAACCAAGTATGCAGAGAAACAGATGGAATGAAAAAATCTGAAATTGTAGAACTACAATAGGCAGCTGAATCATAAGTGGAGCTTATAAATGGACAGAGTGAAGATGTTATTGTCTTAATTAAATTTTTTTTTTTCTCACTTTTGATTTTTTGCTCCTGTTCCTTCTTAAATACTTTGCATGGTAAATTAATAATAATTGTACTTAGTGTTTCAGAGCCTTTTCAAAACGTAAAAAATGTAGTTTTCCTGAAGCATTTTGTCCTTTCTGGTAAATTAATTTAATAGAAACTAATACAAGTTCGTTAAATGATAATGATTTTGTCTGCTTAAACTGAATTAGATATCAAATCTTATTGCAGTGCTAAACGTATGGCTGAATGCAGACATTATAATAGTTTCCCGCATCTATAGGTTTTGGGCTTTAGTAACTGTTGAGTTTATGTTTTTTGATACCAGGTTTCTCACTAGAAACATGGCTAATATGTTTTCTTTCTCTTTTCTTCTGTCCTATTTACAGGTGGTGGTGAATGGGTGTGATTACCAGCCCCAGACAGCCAGTCCCAATAAAAAGCATGCCAAAGCCATGGCAGCCACAGTGGCTCTACAGGCAATGGGTGAGGTAGCGGGGGACGGTGTCCATTCAGGACCTGTGTTCACAGCAGCCACCAGCACCTGATAACGACCTCTACACACACAAAACATCTCATTGTGGGGAAAACCGTACTGCACCTCAGTCTAAATAATTTCTTTATGGAATTTGTAGATAAAGGGGAAGCTGACTTGATATGTAAACCGAGTGTGTATATTGCTTCACACACTCTTTACAGTTTTCGTTTTTTTGGGTTTTCTTTCAGTTGTTTCTGTAAACATGGTAGATCACAAACTTTAACCTAATGAACTAAAATATGCCCTCGCAACTTGGGCATAAGAAGATTGAAAAAATGAATACACTGTTGTAGTAAGCTGGGGGGCACTTCACAGACAAAGTAAATTTTTCAGTTAGCCACAGAACTTAAGCCAAAAGTGAGAACTGTCGAATAGAAGGAGATAAGGAACTTGCATACTAGTCAGCCTTAAGCATCCAGCTAACTGAGAAATCTTATGTGTCTGTTTTTAAAGCCTTTTGTACTTTGACTGAGCTGTACAGCAGACATAGTTGTTTTAAATTGCACTTTGTCCCCTGTTACATTTTGATGTTTTAACTTGTGCATGCTTAAATAATGGTTAAAGGATGTGCTCTTTTATGTTTTCCTTAAACAAAGATTTCTCTATGTCTGACATGGTTTGTATTTTTTGCACATATGTCATTTGGACTACTCCCAACATTGTCACTGAAACACTACTTCCCTTTGAAAGCATGTTTTGAGTTGCCAACAGAAGAGAGATTTTATTTAGTACAATTAAATAAATGGATGACTTCTCTCTGGAACACATTGTATGACTTTATTTGAATGGAAGAGAAACTTTTTCATTCTCTGTTCCTCTAGCACATAATTAGCACTGGGCAGTGCAGGAGTAGACTGAAGTGCTAAGCCTTTTGCGCCAAGTTTCGGGCACAAGTACGAAATATTCTGTACCCAAAAAAAGCATGCTTGCTATGTATGAAAGTGGCATACGAGCCTAAATGTGCAGTGACATGAGATTGTCTCCCTTGAACATGAAAGCACAGGCTTCAAATATGTACTAAAAGGACATTTATAAGAATGAAACTGAAAGATTAACTGTGAATGTAAATATTTAAACCTACAGGACTCTTCTCACTACTCCTTTACCACTACTCTAATAGAAGAATTACACCCTCGTAATGCTTTGGTGTGGAAAGATGCCCAGTTTTTAAAGCTGCTCTCTCATCATTACTAAACTTGCATTACTTTTTTGGCCTGTATGTTGATGGCTCCACTAACCTTTAAACCTTGACTCTCAAGCAAGAATGTGGAGCATTCAAACCTTTTTTAATGATCTCAGTTAACTTTTTTTTTCAGTTAAGCACGGTGGAAAAGACTGTTACAAGAACATAGGCAAAAAATATTTTCTAAGTTTATTAAAAGTACTCACTGGGACCTAAATCCCAACAACCTTCAGGTTTTGATATGAAGATGAATATTTGTATATTTGAATATTTGTATATTGAAGCACATGCAATTTATTTTTCATGAAGGAACAGACAATTTTAGTAATTCTAATTTACGCCACCATTAACTATGATCATAAACGTAAATAAATGTATGACATTCTATCCATAAGTTACATACATATCTGCTACGTGTTATAGGTGATAGCACAGTTGACCCTAAATGCATTGATTTAAAAAAAAATACTGCTAATTAATTTTAGGTGTCCATATTGCAAGTAATTACCTGAGATAAAATGTAGCACCAACCTCAGGATGTAGGTTCAACAGTTCTGATTATGGAAGTAATTTGGCTGTTTCATCTTAATAAGTTATAAACAAGGTCTGTGAGGTGTGCAATACAGGCAGACATACTTTGAAAATAGAAGTGTTGCAAAACAAGATGAATAAAATATATGAAAATATAAAATTAGAAAGAACTAAGGTGCTGCTTAATCCTCAGTCAAAGCTTTCCTAGTGCCACTAGTGTGCCCAAGAATGCTGCAGTGACCAGCAGTACAACACTGATCATCCCAATGCGAACCCACGGTACCTTCTCAGCCCAAAGGTATTCAAATGGATCTTCATCACCTGACGGGGGGAAAAAAAAGTTATGACTGTGGATCCAAAGATGAACTCAAGTTTATTATTGTGAATTATGTCATTATGGCCTAATTTGTTTGCTGTATTGTCATATTAGATTAGAACATCATGCTGTAAAGGTGTTCATTTGGCCTCATGTCATGTTTAGGTCATCCCAGAATTTCCGTAGCCTAATTAAGAGCTTCCAGCTGGCAGTGTGGCTTCAAGTGTCACTCTGAGTTATTATTACCAGTTTGAAACTTAAGCAAGAAAATGTAACCTGACATTTAAGATAGTTTAACTTACCATACCTTAGACCTGCTTGTGTGCAATTTTAAGTAACAAAATTAGTGATTAACTATTCAATCAACTGGTCAAATAATCTTTGTCCATTTTATTCACTATTGGAAATGAATTTTTATTTAGATCACAAACACCAAATCAGTACATATGGTGTTGTATAGTTTTACAACAGTAGTTTTCATTTTTTTAACAACAGTAGTTTTCAATTTTCCATTTCCAAATGTGGAATTCATTAAGCAACATACGGCAGTGCTGGCCCATAATATTCTTAGGTTTTCAGTAGAACCCACTACAGTACCTCCCACAGCATCCTGCACTGTAGTACTTTCGCCACTGGAATCAGCAATTAACTTATTGAAGTCAGCAGTTGTGCTTGGCTGCCACGGTAGCTCTGGGATCACTAGAAGGAAACATGCTGTATTTAGATCACTTAACAAAAACACAGTACAAAAACAGCATTTAGGTACCTGTAAGTGTGAGTTTTGTACCACCTGGAGAGTGACGACAGTGCAGTGGCTCAAGCATGAAAACAATGCATTGTGATACTCCAGTAATAAAAGCATGAATCATTATTTTCAGAATCTGCCAAAGATTAAAAAATGTCTAATCTTTGCAGTCCTCCTCAGCTGAAAATAAGACTTCTTTTTTTTTTGTCCACATATATATTTGTTTTAGTTTTTAACTTAGTCATTAAAGCCAAGGCTTTTACCAGTTTATATCAGCGCTAGGTTCAAGACCCAATCGAGGCACAATCAGAAAAAGACTGAGGCCCAGTAATCAGAATTTCTATTTTGTCCATTTTAAGTGTGATAGCTTTAAAACAATTTAATAGATTAAGGTCAACAACTGGGTGTGTTCCATTACAGTACCTTCCATGGTGTCCTGCCCAGTACCACTCTCGGCACTGGATTTGGCAAGTAACCCAAAAAGGTCGCTAGTCGTGCTCGGCTGTGGCTGCATCTGTAAGACTCCTGGAAGGAGAGACATTGTACTTAGATCATTTAACAAAAACACAACATCTGAGTACGATCCAGCAACTGTGAAGTACATACTGCAGTACCTCCCACAGTATCTTGCACAGTAGTGCTGTCAGCACTGGCATCAGCAATTAACACTGTAGTGTCTGTAGTGGTGTTCGGCTGTGGCAGTAGCTCTGGGATCACTAGAAGCAAACACATTTTACTTATATCAGTTAACAAAAACATCATATGAAAACAACACTTAGATGCAACACTATACTCAGGTGCCATTGTGCAGCAACCCTAGAACAACCTGTTGTTCTGCTCAAAGGCAAAGGTCAGAAGACATGAGACATGCAATAGCCACATTTCCATATTCTTAGCCCAGAACTGTTCAGTCCTGATAAAACATCTACCAACATTTTTACAAATGAAAAGATGATAACATGTTTAGAAAAATTAAATGTGGTACAATTCTTCACTTGTCTTAAGAGGTAGACACTAGCATTAAACAAGCACTGTAGATTTGTCGTATAACATACTTTCATGAATCTTTGGCTCTGGCTTGAGTTCCAGATTGGAATTCTTTTCAAATAGGCTCACAATTTTTTGGTTTTCAAAAAAAGAGAACACCAGGGGCAGATGGGCGGCACAGGGGAGGCAAGCAAATATCAACAAGAAAGCAAAGCCAAATCCTGGAAATTCTGGACAATTTAAAATCAGGGCTGGACACATTTTTGGTCTCGGACATGTCCTGGAAAATAAGGACATATGATCACCCTGATTCAAAAATTATTAGAATACTCTCTCTAACATTTTATACCTAAAAAGTAACTTAGACATATTAATCTATGGTTATTTAAAACAGAGGTAACAAGATTAGTTTTTAAGGAGAGACTGAACACAGGCAGACTTTAGATAAACTGGGACACGACCTGTGCAGTGAGAGCTGTGATAGACACTAGATCTGTACCAACCACTGGTTCCTTGATCCATGTAGTGGGAAGGATGTCCGTAAAGACATGCAGTGTGATAGCTTTGAAAGAGTTTAATACAACCCCAATTCCAAAAAAGTTGGGATGCTGTGCAAAATATAAATAAATGTAAATAAAAACAGAATGCAATGATTTGCAAATCTCATAGACCCATATTTTATTCACAATAGAACATTGAACACAGATGTTGAAAGTGAGACATTTTACCATTTCATGAAAATTTTTAACTCATTTAGAACTTGATGGCAGCAACGTATCTCAAAAAAGTTGGGACTGGGCCATGTCTAACATTGTGTAGCATCCCCTCTTCTTTTAACAACAGTCTGTAAACGTCTGGGAAGTGAGGAGACCAATTGCTGGAGTTTTGGGAGACGAATGTTGTCCCATTCTTGTCTGATGTAGGATTCTAGCTGCTCAACAGTCCTGGGTCTTCTTTGCTGGATTTTTTGTTTCATGACCCACCAAATGTTTTCTATTTGTGTAGGTCTGGACTGCAGGCAGGCCAGTTCAGCAACCAGACTCTTCTTCTGCAAAGCCATGCTGTTGTGATGGATGAAGTATGTGGTTTAGCATTGTCTTGCTGAAACATGCAAGGCCTTCCCTGAAAGAGATGTTGTCTGGATGGGAGCATATGTTGTTCTAAAACCTTTACATACTGTTCAGCATTGATAGTGCCTTTCCAGATGTGTAAGCTGCCCACGCCATAGGCACTAAAGCAACCCCATACCATCAAAGATGCAGGCTTTTGAACTGTGCACTGATAACAAGTTGGATGGATCCTCTCCTCTTGCGTCTGCAGGACACAGCGTCCATGGTTTCCAAAAAGAATTTCAAATTTTGATTCATCTGACCACAGAACAGTTTTCCATTTTGCCTCAGTCCATTTTAAATGAGCTTTGGCCCAGAGAAGGTGGCAGCATTTCTGGATCGTGTTGACATATAGCTTCTTCTTTGCATGATACAGCTTTAACTTGCATTTGTGGATTGCACAGCAAGCTGTGTTCACAGACAATAACTTCTGGAAGTGTTCCTGAGCCCATGCAGTGATTTCCAGTACAGAATAATGCCTGTTTTTAATGCAGTGCTGCCTGAGGGCCCAAAGATCATGAGCATCCAATATTGACCATCAGCTTTGTCCCTTGCATACAGGGATTTCTCCAGATTCTCTGAATCTTCTGATGATATTATGTACTGTAGATGGTGGGATATCCAAAGTCTTTGCAATTTTATGTTAGGAACATTTTTCTGAAATTGTTCCACAATTTGTAGATGCAGTTTTTTGCAGATTGGTGAACCTCTGCCCATCTTTGCTTCTCAGAGACTCTGCCTCTCTAAAATGCTCCTTTTATACCCAGTCATGTGAGTTAGTTGCAAATTGTTCCTCCAGCTGTTTTTCACTAGTACCACTTACTTTTCCAGCCTTTTGTTGTCCTGTCCCTTTTTTTGAGATGCATTGGTACCATCAAGTTCTAGTTTTTTTTTTCATGAAATGGTAAAATGTCTCACTTTAACATCTGATGTTCTATTGTGAATAAAATATGGGTCTATGAGATTTGCAAATCATTGCACTCTGTTTTTATTTACTTTTATTTAGATTTTACACAGCGTCCCAACTTTTTTGGAGTTGGGTTTGGGTTGTAGATTAAGGTCAACAACTGGGTGTGATCCATTATAGTACCTTCCATAGTGTCCTGCCTGGTAGTACTGTCGGCACTGGATTTGGCAAGTAACCCGAAAAGGTCGCTAGTCGTGCTCGGCTGTGGCTGCATCTGTAAGACTCCTGGGAGGAAAGACATTGTACTTAGATCATTTAACAAAAACACAACATCTGAGTACGATCCAGCAACTGTGAAGTACATACTGCAGTACCTCCCACAGTATCTTGCACAGTAGTGCTGTCAGCACTGGCATCAGCAATTAACACTGTAGTGTCTGTAGTGGTGTTCGGCTGTGGCAGTAGCTCTGGGATCACTAGAAGCAAACACATTTTACATGGGACATGCAGTAGCCACATTTCCATATTCTTAGCCCAGAACTGTTTATGCAGACTTTAGATAAACTGGGACACAACCACAACAGGTCCTGCAGTGTGATAGCTTTAAAAGAATTTAATAGATTAACATCAACAACTGGGTATGTATTACAGTACCTTCCATGGTGTCCTGCTGAGTAGCGGCATCAGCAATTAACACTGTAGTGTCAGTAGTGGTGTTCAGCTGTGGCAGTAGCTCTGGGATCACTAGAAGTAAACACATTTTACTTATATCAGTTAACAAAAACATAACACGAAAACAACACAGATGCAACACTATACCCAGGCATCATTTTGCAGCAGTCTTTTTTTTCCAAATGAAAAGATTATCACATTTTTAGATAATTCAAAGTGGTTAAATTCTTCACCTGTCTTAAGAGGTAGACACTAGCATTAAACAAGCTTTGTAGATTTGTCATATATTATTTGCTGTCTGAATCTTTGGCTCTGACCCCTGTTATTCTTACTGTTATGAAATACCTCTTGTGGTGTCCTGCACCGTATTGTTGTCTTCACTGGCACCAACAATTAATCCAGTAAGCTCTGTACTTGTGCTAAAACTGGTCATCTCAGTAACATCACTGGCTTCTTCCACTGTAGCATCAGGTTCTTTGGAAACCGGACCAAAAAGATTAACACATTTTTTATAGGCTTCAATTAATAAATAACTATGGTTGTAATAATGCTGGGGGCTTAGAACTCAAGTCCTACAGATCACAGCAGAGTTCTAGCATGGCAAAGCTCTAGCGCACCCAAAACAACTCATTAGTGTTATACACTGTGCACTAAATAGCTGTAAAACAGACCTCCCGGATTGAAGTCTGATTCCTCTGAATTATACCATCAAACAGATCCAAATGTTTTGTTTTTTTTTTTCTAAATTTCCATCAACAGAAGACAATACAGTGAATTAATTCTGCAAGTGATCTGGAAAATAAAGTAAAGTAAATGAACAAATAAATAAATGAAGGGAAACATGCTCTATAGGCCATAGATAATCCCTAGCCCTAGCTTAATAAGTTTTTTTTATGGAATGGAGTGATTAGTTTGTTGGGTGGGCAGGGGTGGGGTAGCAAAGGAAGTAGCAAAAAGCATAAGCATTTGAGCTTATGGGAATAACATAGCTTGCCTGCCTATCAGGAACCCTTCCTCACACACCAAGGTACAGCTGGGGCTCCCTGAACCTGATCTTGCTGAGTGGGGATACAAGGGCATGCCAAGCATGATGTAAGGATATAGTTGCTGTGCCTGACCAAGAGAAGGGCTGATGTGAGAAGTCCTGCTGGTATGTTTATTTTGCTCATGTTCTTGCCAATATTTTAGTTGATGCTTTCATTGCCTCTTATCATTCTTTGTTTCATGGATGTGGCTTCCAAGTACATCTCAGTTACTCTCCCTCTGCCTAGTCCTGTGTGTAGTCTGACCTAATTTACCCTGATTTGTCATACTTTATATATAGGACATGCCATTGTAAAAAATTGCTGCTATCAGAACAAAACATGGAAAATACTGGAAATCAGCACCAGCCCACAATTGCAGTATCCCTAATAAAAAATTTTCCAAGTAATTTTGGACAGTTTGTAATTATTTCTAATTCATAATGAAACATTTTCACTTTTTGCAGCTGGCATTTTTAAATAATGCAAAAAAATAAAACCAGGAAAATTACATATTCCATTTATTCTAGTTAGAATTATCATGAATTGATAGTAGCATAGTACTAGTATAGTTCCAGAACAGCCCTGCAATAACAGTTCAGTAAAAAAAAATAGTAAGACAGCCAAGCGTAATACAATGAATCAATAAATGACAGACTAAGCATACATGCAAAATGGCTCATTTGCAGATGGCTGACCAGAGGTCTCCAAGCTCCATGTGCTCCAGCCAGTTTTCATGCCCTTCATGAGTGAAATCATGCATGTTAGAGTGAGAGAAAGTCAAAGCAGTGCATGCAATCACCTGGACTGAGAACCACTGCAGTATACTCTACCTAAAACACTGAGGCTGTATGTTTCAGGAACTCCGCTTCGTGGAGCTTCATAATCATTGGCCTTGTAGCGGCATTTGTAGATACCCTGGTCCGAGGCTCTTACTGACTCAATTGTCAGTGAATAGATGCCCCAACTGATTTCCTCTTGGGGTGGTAATGCCAGGCCCCTGTAGCCAGTGTTTGTAGTGATCTTGCCAGAGCTGAATAGCAGGACTTCCTTTTCATCCTTTAACCACTGAACAAACATTTTCTCCCAAGGTTTATTTTTTGGTATTCTACCATAGCAGGGCAGTGTGACGTCCTCACCCTCTGTCACAGAGGTATGCAGTTCAGAAAACGGTGGGGCTTAAAGGAGAGAGAAAATGAGACTTAATGTAATATCATTAGCTTTTTTTGTACATCTTGTTGACTGTTGAGTTGTTGTAAACTAAATGAAACACCACAGGCACTCTAAAAGCTAAGGAAAATAATTGTTGAGGAGTCAAGTTGCAGTTGATCAATTCACGTTCCACCCAAAAAAATTCTTGTTCTCTTGTAGTAACTGTGGCGAGGTTGGACAAGCTTTAAAGAACACTGGCAAAATTGTAATTCAACCAAAGGAGAAACTGTAGTGCAACTGACTTTTTCAATCAGTGTATGCAAATTATTCATATTGGACTATTACAATGTTTTCTGTTTTTAATTCTACGCTGGATTCCTAAGTTATTTATTCTGTTTTACTCTGTTCCACAATAGTGAGTTAATTTCATGTGTTTTCTTGAGAACTTCTCCCTGAGAAGGTGATTGCGATTACCATGTGACATATTTTCTTAAGATAATGTTCTCAAGATCTCTAAAATGAAATGTTGTTTTCACAGGATAATGACGCAATTCATTTTAGATCTCACAAGAAATGTTTTTCTTACCAAGATGCACCAATGCCACCAATGCCCTATTGTAATATGTATAGTATAGTACATTTGTACAGTTATCATGTATGTAATTCGTTTTACTGAGATTTTAAAATAATTATAGCATTATTTCGAGAAAACAAAGTTTTGTTACCTTGAAATCTCGAGAAAAGTATTCCATTATCTTGGCTCCCATTATAGCACACTGTGAATTTTTCTTTAGGTTGAATGGGATTTTTTGCCAGCATTATAGCCCAGCCTCACAAAAGTAGCGAGGAAAGAACACATTTGTGGGCAGAGCATGGATAGGGAATTCTTAGCTGTCAACCATCAAAATTAGTTTTTTCAGCAATACTTACGTAAGACATTCAGTATTACAGTGGATATGCTCCTCTTGCCCTGCCACAGACACTCATACAGGTCTGTGTCACTCATCACTGCATTTGTTAGAGTCAAGGAGAAGTCCCCCTCCAAAGCCTTTGATAACTGGAGCTCTACACGGCCCTCGTACCCCTGTCCAGCCAAAAGGTGGCCATTCTGGAAGAAGGCTACATCTTTGCCCATAGCCTCCCAGTGCACATCCAGTTCCCCTCTGCTGTAGGCTGAGCTGTTGCAGGGCAGGATCACCGTACCCCCAATCTGCACCTGTACCTCGCCGATCTGAACATGTGGTTTGTAGGGGGTACTGGTGTTGAGACAGGCTTGTAGGTGGTACCGGTGATGCACAATGATTGGAAGAAGAAATAAACATCTTGAGGTTGCAGTGATTTAAGTAGATTCTATGCAATATATCAGTCATTACTTTGCTACATAATCTAGATTGACTCACCTTTTAGAACTGATGCTAAAATTACTGCAAGACCAAGTATTTGCATGTCTTGAGGAAATGTCTCTCAGTGCAATAGGACAACAAGAAAGAACACTGTAAAACAACAAGATTTTACATAAACATCCAGAATAACTGAAAAGCACAGACATATTACAGTTTTGTCAGCTGCACTTCAATTGCATGTATGTCAACTAATTGACATATTGACAATTGTCAACTCAACTCAAACCAATCAGGGCATTAGTTAGAATCAAGGCAGATTCTTTTTCAGCAGCTCCTTTGTACAGCTCCGCCCCACACATAAACCAGTCGCTTTAGCCTAACTGACTACTAGTGAGTTAGCTAGCTTTTAAAAAACATCTCTTAACTGTGTTGAAATTACTGCAGCGCATGTGTTTAATAGGGAAAAAAGTGTACTGAATACTTAGTATCACAAGTTAAACCAGCATTGGGAAGCAGCTTGTCGACAAATTACATTGCTTGAATGATTTATTTTCTATTATAGCCAGAAAATGCTAATGCTGTTGGGATGATTGGCCAAATTCCTACTTCTGTTAGTAGCACTGATCTCCACAGTTACTGCTGTTTGTACCTTTACCTTTGTAATCCAAGATCTCACACAGATTCAAAGTCTGCCAGAAAATAAAAGCTTAAAAAGTGAAAAAGACTGCTGCCATGCAGTACTTTACACTACCAGTCACTGAGCAGTCTGAAATGCCCACACAGTCCTGACCAGGCAGACAGTTATACTTCTATAGCTTTTTGCTGTAAAATTTGAAAAAATATTTGAAAAAAAATGAAAATTAATAATTAGAAAAATTATTTAGGTGTTTTTTTTTTATCTAACTTTGGTTAATGATCATTAAGCCACAATTCTTTAAGACCATAGAGATGGTTTTATTATTTGCAGTCCAGCCCGAATGTCCTGCCCCTTTAGGAGGCATAGTGATGGCACTATGTTGAGGACATGTGAGGCCACACACCCAAAAAGAATGGCAGCAGTGCAGTGTGTCTGTATCAAATGATTTGTAATGTGACCTTTACTACGAGCTTCTTTACTAGAGATGCAAAAGAGCTGGTTGGACTGGATCGTTGCCCAAACCACCCCACTCAACTACATTCAGCAGTCTTCACATTACTCTGAGCGTACAGGCTGTAGCCCATGCACATATCAAAGATATGAAGCACATAGTCTCATACTGCTGTGGGCTCATTCACATAATTACTTAGCTCAAAGTAGCCCAGATTACTGTTTAAATTGTATGTCATCATAAATGTCATTATTAAAGCACAGGCTACGATTTAAAATGTATGCAGAAAATCAAAGTATGTTTAAAAACTTTTTTTCTTGAGGTATGCTTAAATATAGTTGACAGATTTTGTGAGTTTTGAGTCATCTGGATGAACAATCAGCGTAGTCCCAACGCTCATTTGCACTCATTTTTTTCAGTCTGAAATCAGTAACAAATGGTGCTTCAAGCATTAAATGGGCATTCTGGCCAAAAACTAGTTTAATATTCCTCATTGACAAAACTGAAAGTTTTTTAGCTCTTTCCTGTATTTTCAGTCATCCGTATGCTCTCACTACAATACCCAGCCTGCATTATGCAAACAGTAATACAACCAGAGCCGGTTTATGAGGAGCCTGGCCACTTCTTATTTCCCCCGTTATATCAAAAACAGGACTGCAAAACAGCAGAGGGCGCCCGCGAGCGAGTCCTCAATGAATGGGAATAAATGGAACTCAATGGCTAAAAACAAAAAGTTAAAATAGTTAATCATTTGCCCAGAACTTTCCTTTAATTTTAGAAAGAAGAAGGCTGTATTTCACTAAATAAGCGGAGCAGCTATTGGCAGTCGCACTCACAGACGTCATGAACGTTCATGGGGCGCCGTTTAAAACTTCCATAAATCGAGTTTAAAAGCTCTTAAAAATATAACAGCGGTGTTAAAATGTTTTATGCTATTCAGTGTTCAGGAAATGAATGTATTCTTTTTTTTTACATTAAAAATGTTTAAGCATTCATAAATTATGATTTTGCTCAAATGCTCCATCTTAACCCATTCATTTTGGACTCGCTTGGGAGCGCCCTCTAGCGTTTGAGAAACCTGGAAGACATTGCAGAGTGGTAATTCTCCTCTCCAAAAGTTCCCTGATAGAAACATTGGAAATCCCTGTGGCATCAAACTATCCTGACTACTGGCTCAGCCAAAAATACAACAAAGCTAGCATTAGTGTAACTCTTAACTCGGCATCAAACAAAATCATTGAGAGCAATTTTATCTTTATTCAGCACAAAATGGAGAAAGGTTTTCTATTCTTTCAGCCAAGCCAGGTAGCTTCCTTGCTAACTTTAGCTTTTATCTTGTTAATCTCCTCATCTGACAAGCCATTTTTGTCCTTTGTGTAATCCATTCTTTCCACTGCAATGATTTGAAGACAGTGACCACAGTTATACATCCACAATAATACATTCAGCTGCCTAGCAGTAACTTTAGCTATTTTTCTTCCTTCTGTGTTCACCAGCTGGTGGAAAAAACCAAACACTTCAAAACAGCTCACGAACAAAAATAGTTTTGTAAGTAATTAGATTTTTTTCTAGTCTTTAAAAAATAAAATCGTACTCTGGAGACTGTCTTAATACCACTGTGGGACACGAGTAGAAATTAACAACAGATGTAACGATGGTTACATTTTTCATTTCGACGGGAGTGTCCCTTTATATTTTGGTTGTACATGACCATTCATAAAAATGGTGGAATCACTGTTTGTAAGAGAGGTTCATTTCAAATATACATACATACATTATTTTATTCATATATTCTAAACAGTGAAGCAAAAACCAATGAATTAATCAAAAATACATGCTTAATTTCCGGGCTTGAAGGCAAATGTATTCAAAATATAAAATGATATAATTTTTTTTTAAAAAAGCAAATGATTTTAGCCTCAACAGATCCTGACGATAGTTCGCTCGGAACCCAAATCGTGTCGGAAACACCTACTTACGAGACGAGCACACGTGAACACCACCACAACGCTGGTGAGAAACGCGTATTTTCCGATGAGTAACTTTCCAAACTGGGGGGCGTGTCAACAAAAACGCAACGGTAGCTACTGATAGTCGTGTTGTAAACTGGGAATTCAGCCACGCTGCAGCTCTGCAGACTGAAATCTTTTCTTAAAAGTTCATGGTTGCGGTTCAGCGCAGAGCTGCGCGTCACTCTCGGTGAGCGGGAAGTCAGAGGTACTTACCGGAGGTCAGTCGCTCCTGAATCGGCAGCCCGAAGGCTCCCCTGGTTAGTCCAACACCCGCTCTTTTTAGCTGTCATCCCACATAGTCTGCTGACCTCTCGCCTTTCATTCTAACGCATTGAATTACAACTAAGAGACCCTGGAGCTGCAGTAAGCGCTCAGTGTGCAGTAGATGTTTATCACCTGTGGGCCACGGAGTCACGGACTGTGTGATTTTTGGTCCGAGCAGTGGGCAGTGTAGACAAATAAAGCGGAAAAGTGCACTGAGCGGTTATTGTATAGGTCTGAACCTGCTGACAGCGTGTGTGCCATTTCTCTCCCTCGTCTGTCATGTGTATCTGTTTGCACGTGTGTAACGCGCAGATCCGACTTATTAATATATAGCTGGGCAGATCAGCTTCTCGGAAACACAAGACGGCAGCAGCAGCAGAGCTACGCAGGTTTCTGTGAACACTCGACCACTTGACTTCTTGGTGTTCCAGCGGGCAGGCAGCCTAAATGTAGTGGGCAACCACTTATACTGTACCACTGTCAACCTTTAACACATAATACATGTTGAGCGATCCTGCATAGACCTACTTCATAATTTATAAGGTTGGTTCTGGTGCATCGCATCCTTAAGGGAAATATGTCATAGGCCCTTAATGATAAAGCCAAGTTTCCTCCAAAATGAGGTGTAATTACTCATAATTAACTCAGAGTAGTTACAATATCCATTTTGGCTCATTAGGGTTTCCGGCCTTGTCTTTATCTCAAACTTAAGTTATTTCAAAACTCTTTGGTATCACAGTTTGATGAACTTGATGAACATAAATATTTGCACCAGGCACAGATTTATTTTTTCTGCTACTCTGTTAAGGAAACACATGAGAGAAAGTGGCACAACAAACAATTCATTTAATGTCATAAAATATCATACAAAAAAATTAAAATATCAAGCTTGAAATATGCACTTTCACCAATAAAATATGCACCAATAAAAAGCAACATTTTGTGCCACAACTTTCTCCTTTAAATGTCTCTCAGACATTTCTGTAATGCAGACAATTTCACCAAACTGTTACACTGAGACAAAAGCAGATATATATATACACACATATACTGTTAGACAAATACTGATGGGACTAACTTTCAAGTCCTTCAAGTAAATAGTGTTAAACAGAAGATTCCTAAATTTAATTTGCCTTTAAGAACTGTTCATGTCAGCATCATCATAAAATTAGCTTAAAACCTATAGGCAGTGAAGACAAATAAAACAAATTAAACACAGCAGGTAAAATAATTCACAGTGCATGGCTAAAAATATCAATGTGCTGTCGAACTCGTGCAGTCGTTCTTATAAAAGACAGCATAAAACAACCTCGGTATGGCAAACTCTGGCCACATAGAACGTGTCCATTACTAAATGTCATTGTCAGGGAAATTTTTTAAGCAAATGCCTGAACTTACAAAGCAGTTTTTTCCAGATATGTAGCGCACTGTAGTCAGCTGAAAGGAAGCAGGTGGTTCTCATGAGCTCCAGCTGTAGGAAAAGTCCCTCATGTGGAGCTGCCTTAGGGCAGACTTGCCCAGTGTAGCCGGCTCCTCCAGCTGCTGTATTGTGCTCTGCTGTAGACCGCACCTGACCAGGTCCTGCTCTATGTTGCTCTGTGGAACAAAGAAGTGGAGTGATAATGGATAATATAAATACTAGGGGTGTATCTTTGATCTTTACAACGATTTAGAATCTTTTACTTTACAACGATTTAGAAATGTGACTGGTGAGACTACGAGAAAACTATTTACGCAGTAGTATAATGTACACAAAAACAATACATGAAGTGCTTTTTCTCCAACATTTGATTATAGTCAAGAAGTTAGTGCATCGATTCTAATACTGCAAAATTGATGCAACTGAAACAGCACATTCAGACTGCTGTGTCAAGATGCAGCAAGAATTTTTACATCCCTGATGGATCCCACTCTGTCCACAATGTCCACCTGCAATGTATGTTTCATAGTGACAATGATAAAATTACATTCCTCTACAGTGTTATGATACTTGCGTCACTGTAGTCCTTGTTTTTTTCATATATGATTAGATGAATAATAACAGAAGACACGGTACTTGCAAAAATGCAAACCCTCTTTAGACTAATCTATCCTTTACAGCACTGTTTATAACATACCTGTTGATCAGATTCAGAGAGCTTGGTGACAGGTACATTTAGAACTGCGCTGGGCTCGTGTGTGTACAGGGACACAGAGAAGCCTCCTTTCTGTGCTGGTTTCAGGAGCTGAGTGAGTGCATGTAGCGCATGGGGCATGATGGGGCCAGTCACCTCCAGACTGCACACATCTTGATAGCCTGTCCTCACCTGGGTCTTCACATTCACACTTCGTGCCTGCAGCAAACATCAGCACACTCATTATACAGGCAACGTTATATAGACCATACAGGAGAATCTACTTAATTCTACAGCCACCAGCCATTTTGCACATAACTTTATGTGCTTTATTCCTATGCGTAATGCTACTTCGTTTGCCACATGGCCAGAAATGTAAACCAGTTAAACAAAGAGCCTGTTAACAACAACTAGTACTGTTAATTTTTATCATCTGGCTGCATTTTATGTCTACAGATTTTAACAAACAACTGCGCTTTTCACACATCTGACACCACACTCACTTGTACTCTTCAGCAGTAGGATGTTAATAAAGGGAGAAGCATAGGGGACAGGAGCACTGTGCTGTTTAGAGAGCTTTATTATTGTAACATTCCTATTCTTGCCTTACACTTAGCTTCATTCAGCTGTAGTGATAAAACAGCACATTTTGTTGTAGAACTTCCCATCACCATAACAAAAGAAACTGCTTGTTGCATGACGCCACTGTGGCGGGGACGCAGTAGGACGAAACAGCAGAAGGAAACATGGTTTGATCTACAGAGTAGTATTATTCTGCTTTACAGGAATATTCAAGTAGCTGTGGTACCACACAGAGCAGCTGCTCACCTTCAGCATCTGCAGTGTAGCTCCTCTGAACGCAGTGGGAGCAAGCAGGGTTGGGGGTAGCCCGGCCTGAGAGCCAGCTCCAGCCACCAGACTCTTACAGTTGATGAGGAAGTTGATCAAGGTGAAGGTGTTGGAGCCTTCCACCAGTACTACCGATTCTGGCCTGTGATCCAGCCGTACCTCGTTGTGCTCTTTACGCCTGGTAGAAAGAGTTAAAGATGCACACTTACATTACAATAACAAACATATACTGGACTTGCTGTAATGGTGAAGGAAGGAGATGGAGGCATATATCCTTAAGTGCATAAACAAAAGATTAGATTCAACAACCAACAATCTTCGGATCAGAAATGTGACAGTTGGTATGTCTACCTGAGGTATTTAAACAGTACCATCTTAAACAGTAGACACTTATAAGTTAAAAGAAAAAAAAAAATCATTATTTAAAGATCAGCATATGCCCTAAAGTTATTCTATTTCATGAATTCATACTGATAAAACCATAAAGCCCCATTTTAAACTTATTTCAAAAGTACTGAATTGTGTTATAGAATTATAGAATTGTGTTAGGCTAAACAGGCCAAACAGAAGGCTACAGAAAATAAACCAGCCTTAAGCAGTCTTAACATACAGCTTGATAGAGATGGCATCAGGCTTCTTAATCTTGTCCTGTATTCCCATGTCTTGCAGCCAAGACAAACCACCATCATCATCCTCATCGTCATATTCATCTTCTTCTTTATCGCTATGCTGTGAAGTCCTGGAGTGTGAGGAGGAGAAAAAAGTATAGTACAGTTATGCCAAAATAGTCAAAATCTCACAAGTTAAAAGATTATGCTACTGTGCATGCAGCTTATATAGTACTGTACATGTAGTTCCACATACTATAGCCAAGTACTCACACAGCACCGCTTGGTTCAGCTCCATCTCTCTGTTGAGAGTTGTCGTTGAGTTGAGGGGAGCAGCTCTCCTTGCTCTTCCTCTTCTCTTCCAGTAGAGGGAGTGAGAACTCTATCCCTACAGCAAACACAACATCCAAACAAAGTGAAGGACACTCTGAAAAACTAACTTTAAAGTCTGTAACACATGATAAACATGATGCAGTGCTATAGTGGAAAACGGACCGTATGCAGTACACAATAGGTGCATAGGAATTCTACCATGAATATGCTAATGGGCCTGTCAGGTTCATGTAATTTTTGCTGACGATATATTGCCATATGAATAACTGCGATTAACAATTTAATTGTCTTTAATGTCTTTTTTTGGTGAAAGCAGTCAAATTAGCTGATTCTTAGCTATCAATACTCAGTAGTGCCAAATGATGACACAAACAGCTCAAGCTCAAATAAATAAACATTACTCACTATTGACATTTAAAATGTGTTTTAACACCAAATCAAGTTAGAACTTTTGCTGTTTGTGTAAGACCTATGAGGTGTGTGGTTTCTGCTTTCTTTTATTTAGATCTTAACACAATGGATGAAAATGCACCTAGTTCACATTCTGCTTGTTAAATACAATTCTGTGAAAATGAACTGTGGAAAATAATTGTGATAAGATAATTATGTAATAATGGTGACAGGCCTATTTGCCACGTGTTCTTCTTTGCATACATACGCCAGCATGTGTCCAACACTCAAGGCTTGGCTTATGCAATTGTATTTAGTGGGCTGTTCTTACCATCAGCCTTCATGGCCTCCCGTAGACCCCTGGTGGTGGGGGAAAGCAGTGCAGTAATGCCTTTAGCTCCACTCAGCCCTGCTGCTCTGAATAGCACCGTGAACTGGTATGAACAAACGTAGAAGTACGGACAGAGTCTGGCTTTTAGCAGGCTGTACAGAGAGGTGAGGCTCACCGACCTGTGAAATTGAAAAAGAAAAAAGAAGAGGAGGAAAAAGAAAAAAAAAAAATTCAGTTTAGATTTATATACACACACACACACACACACAAAATACGTAAAACTTTACACACAAACATAAAGAGAAGAAATTTACAACTGTCCACCAAAAAATCTTCATATTGTGATACACTGATAGTAGTAATAGTCTCACATTTACAGCAACATGCTCATAGTTATCTTCCTCACTCACCACTCGCTCATCAGGCTCTGCTGAAGTGCAGCATCCTGTGCCCATGGTGTGTTCTTGCCTGCAAACTTGCGCTCGGCTCCAATCCTGGGGAACAGGGAGAGCCAGGGCAAATATGGATGCTGCCAGTACTGCAGACACTGCTGAAAACCACAGCGCAGCTCTGTACAGCTACGAGGGTCCTGGAAAGGAAGAGAAATATAGGGTAAACTGATGTCAGCAACATCATCCTCCAATGAGCAAAATAAAGTGTAAAACAAAATCCACCGCTGCACTTAATTACTTCTGAATGTATTCCAGTTTAAATCGAGCCTTTGCTCCAAAGACTGTGATGTGTGCGGTCATGATCTCTCTTCTTCAGGTCATCCAACATGGAATGCACTTTCAACAGTGGTGAATTTTTATTTTTTATTTTTTTTAAATAAACCATCAAATCAACCACTGTGCAATGTTAAGGTAACTCTAAATATACATTATTCATCCAATAAATAAATGTATATTAAAAAAATATATAAAAGTATATAAAAAATATAAAATTAAATAAAGTAAACCTGCAAACAACCTTTCACAGAAAGAAGTCCATATTTTTCCACTCAGCACTGATGGCTTCAAACAGTCGCAAAACATTGCCAAGCCAGTTCGTATTTAAATGTAAGACCGAACATTCTCTAAGGGGTTTAAATCTAGACTCTGATCAGGCCAAAATCATCAGTGAAAGAAAAAATATTTTTTTGTGCAAAAGGAGTCTATATGATGTGAAGCTGTACAATGTTTTGTACAATCATCACCACACATGACAGCAAACCAAGCAAAACTAACAAAATTCAAAGGCAGACTATAAAATTACCTGGATATTCTGCGGCAAACTAGCATACTCTGCCCTGCAGTGCAAACTCAGGCCCTGCGCTTCCTCTTGAGCCTTCAGATGCTCAGCCCAAGAGAAAGAATGAGGAGAGGTGAAGAGTAGTCGGGTTTTCAGACTCCAGTCTGCTGGATATTCTCTGCATACTTCTGTAGGAGGTGCACCACAAATCTGAGGAGCCTCCGGGCTCTAGTTAGAAAAAGAAGCCATCTTTTAAGATTTTGTAGTCTGACACAAATGAATAAGGACAGAACACAAACAAAACGTTACTTTACCTTCAAAATGGGGGTGACCTTTTCTGTAGCAAATAAATCATCTTCGAATAAAGAATTTTCTTCAGAAAAAGATGGTTTCTATGGTTTTGAGTAGAACAGAAACATTCCATTTTACTCCCTTACGTTCACAAAGTACTTAAAGTGATATCTATGCATATGATTAAAAACGACGCCTTTAATAAGTAAATACAGTGCAATATCATGTTGCCGTAGCAGTTTTTCTTGAGATATTGTGAACACTGGCTAAATAATATTCATCTTTACTAACATTAAAACGTCACTGACCAACACCAGTGAACATGCGAACAATAGCCAGCTCCAAATACGCTAACGTTACGTTAGCGAGCTATGTTGATACCGAGCTAGCTAACAGCCAAGTATAGCGAACTGAACAGCTAGGTTAGCTATGTAGCTATGGTACCTAACGCACCTTTGTAGTCACAATGTAGTTTTAAGTTAAGTTAAAGTTACCTTATTTTGGTTGTCGCTCTGTTTCCCAGTAAGGTTGCTGGAAAGAAGTTCACCGAACGAAGCACTCAAGTTGGCATTTTCTGTCGAACTTCCTCCGTCGCACAGTACAGCTATTGCCTTCCTACACTCGGAAGTGTCCTCTGTGCACGACACAGCTCTCTTCTTTGGGCTGTTATATGTATTTTCTATGTTAGCAAAAGGATTTCTACGCTTCACTCCACCTGACCGTCCCTGGCCCTTTAGCAGCGGACCCGGTGAAAAAGGCCGAACCCCTGCTAACGCTGCAGTAGAGGATACAGAAGCGGCGCTTGAGGTTCCCGCACAAACTCCCTCACTCCGGGCCCTTTTTCTTCTCATGCGAAGAATATCAGACGGCTTTTTAAAACTCGGGGAGTAGCAGCCTTGTTCCGACATAGTTAAACCCCGTTGTAAACAATCTTTACAGCTATCAAAATATATGAATAAGTTAAATGGCACACGGTACAGATAAACCTAGTCTGCGCGGCCTCTTGTTTTGTTTCGTCCGTGTTCTAAATTTCGCGCGTGACGCCGTTACGTCAGAGTCGACCAGGGAGGGACAGACATGCAAACATACGTCATCTGCCAGTCACGTTCAATACTTTTTGGAACCACAATTTGTTTCGACATAGGGACATTTTGACAATGGATTAAAAAAAGATTTGTGAAAGAGCCTTTTTGCGACCATAAAAGCACAGTACAACATATTATCATTACCATTTTGCTAAGCAATATAACTGCAGAGATTTAAATACAATTGAACTACAAAACCCAAGGGCCTTTGCCCGTGCCGCTTCCTGAGATGTGTGATGGTGACATCATAAGCGCGACAAACTTTGTAGTCCGTTTAGGCAAAAGACTCGTAAAAACTTTGTTTCTGTCCTTTACTATAATTTAATTATTAATGACATTTAATCACACTAATATACTGTCAGCTATAACGGAATATACGCCCGGTTATGTAGCACAACCTGAGATGTGCAGCACTGACAATTGTTTGTTAACTTACGTACGAATGCAAACAGCAGGGGGCGCGCTGTTATAATAATTCAAAAACCTACTGCTTCAATCTGGATTGAATGAAACTGAGAATGCGGACAACAGTGGGTAAGAAATTGAAAACGTTAGTTTGTAATTTTCTTTTTTTTTTTTAATTTTTGCTTAACAACAACAATCACACTTATATAGAGAGCATCATATTACAGGACAACACTGTAAGACTTACAGAGTCTCTCAGCTTTCTTAGTCATTAAAGAGGCAATCGTTTTCTAATATTGTTTGGGTTTAATTTATAAATACAGTCAGTAAAGGCTTTTTTATTTGAATACTTACATTTATGAAATTGGGATTTTGCTAAAATGTAATGTAATTATAAACACAATGTTTGTCTACTTTATTAAATGAGATGTTTGTAAAGCCAAAATAAATAAATAAAAAAAAAACACTTTCAAAAAATCCGTATCTGTTAAAAACTTTGAAGATGTTTTTTAGAGTTACATTGTGTATAATTTGCAAAAGTGTTGTCAGGTCCATTATCTTAACAGTAAGCTTGTTTTTGCCAGTAAAAACACCATGTATTAGTAGAATAGATGCAAGTGAACACAAATACAGCAAAAAGTAACAAGAATTTCCTATTTAAAAGAATTGTTAGAAAAAAGGGAGCTAGTTTGAAGAAATAAGTTTGGTTCCAGATTTTCCTCAACACCCCCAGCCATCACACAGGTATGTTAGGTATGTTAAATTCCATCTTCAGTACACCTGATTTAACATTTTAAAGCACTGATTGGTCAAACCAGGTATTGAATGATAACTACAATATCAAAATAATGGGCTGCCACAAGGAGAGTTTTGGAAATGGTTAAACACACTGACATGCATAAAATCACTACATATTGTATTAATATTATTTATATTTTTTTGCAATCGGGTTCTGTTTGTTTCTGAGCAAATAAAAGCAAATAAATAGCTTTTTAAATCTATTTTTGTCAAGTGCCTAAAACTTTTGCAGTATGTACATCCTTCACTTTGTTGATAAGTAAGTATTTTGAGGGTAAATTTCATATATTTTCCTAGTTAAGGCCACATACAAAGTTATTCTAACAGATAAGAAATTACATCATTCTAGAATAATGTCCATATTCTGCAGTTATTGACCTGCACCTTAGTAAAGAGACATGTCTGACCAGTATTGGGAACAATGGGGTCAAGAGGCTATAAGTTTGGCTGGATTCCTGACATATTTAAAATTGTATCATCTCAAGGGACTGCATCAATAACAATAGCAAATTCTATTGGAGGGACTGCTACACTACATGTAAGGGTGGGCAATATGACAATATTTCTTGCTATTGTGATAAATTATGTTGCAATATGTTGCAATATACTGTTCTGAGCATATCATGGATAATGAACACTGACCAACTGCATGTTTCATAACAAAGAGAGCATAGTTAGTCCTGTTTAACTGAATTTTGTGCAGCACCATATGTGAAACTTTGAACAAAAATCATTGTTCAGTAAGTTTATGATAACAATGGCACTGTTGTTTCTCTGTTGTCTGTTATCAAGCATCAGAAAAACTACATATTGTGATTCATATTGTGTAGCATGAAAATGTATTGAAGTATTGTGATGTTATATTTTTGCCACATCTCCCACCTTTAACTATACATCCCTAGAAACTTAGAGTATGTCATTATGAAATCATTAAAATTAAATAACTACTAGACAAATACTTTGGGCAAACCTGTTCTCTAAATATAAGGATTTCTTTCTATACAATTTACATCTGTTATTCCACATATAATATCTATGCAAATATTGCATTACCTTGTGAAAGTTTGATCATTTCAACAGGATTTTCTCAATGTTATAGTTACTTAGTAAATAAAAGTCCTCCCAATTTGAAAAAAAAAATCCAGATTGAGATTGGGTTTCTAAAAAAACTGCCTTCTCCAGTTTATTTTAAAAACATTACTGAAAGTAGATTCAAGTCAAGGAAATGAAGGCCACCCTGTTCAAAGGAGCTCATTAACACAGATTTCTTAATATAATGATGCCTATTTGTACATATAAAAGAGTAGAATATCAGTCAATTTTGAAATCTGCTTATTCACATCAAGGGACAAAAACTTTGTAAATAAGCCAACTCTCTGTTTTAGTCAAAAGAATCCTTCCTCACAGCCACTGCAGTAATATTCTGGGGTTTTATAGGATTAGAATTTGCCAAACATCTAATCTGTATCTTTTGTAATAAGAAATCACAGGAACTTGAGTCTTTCATCAGTACAATGCAAATAGATCTTGTGTTATTTTTAAGCAAACAATTCAGGTAAATGCAGCGGAGATGCATTAGATAATTTCTGGATTAAATCAATAGCCACAGAGACCTGACAGGCATCCTTCAAAAAACAGTGTGGCATCACTAAGCTTTATAAAGGCAGTTAACAACTGAGTGCAAAGTAAAAAAGGTATGGTAAGATAGGACAATTTTGTCTTCATTCATCCATCTTCTAAGCCACTTATCCTTCTGGGAGCTGGAGCCTATCCCAGCGATCACTGGGCAGAAGGCAGGAAACACCCTGGACAGGTCACCAGTCCATCATAGGGCAGACACACAGACATATACATTCACACAGACACACACTCACACCTAGGGGCAATTTAGAGTCTCCAGTCAGCCTGACTGCATGTTTTTGGACTGTGGGAGGAAACCGGAGCACCCAGAGGAAACCCACGCAGGCACAGGGAGAACATGCAAACTCCATACGCCCCAGCCCTTCTTGTTGTGAAGTGACAGCGCTACTTACTGCACCACCATGCTGCCCACAAAAGTAGTTACCAAGGCGTAATCTCTCTAATACATGAAAAATAAGAACTCCATAATTTTAAAGGTAACTTGGGTGTCAATTTTCAATGAAAATGATATCTTTCTAGGCTTTGGAAATAATTAATTTTAGATTTTCTCTAAATTTGTTTTTGGGAGGAAGCTATAAAAATGGACAAATGGACTGCATTTTGGGATATTTAGGTTTTAGTGATAATAACTAGCTATAATTTTTTGGGGGGTCATCAGGAGCACTTCCATCAATGTTTCATCTAAATGTACTGGTTTTAGTTTTGGATCTTTCCAGGAGAAAGCAATGAGCTTGTAAGTTTTGCTTGCCTTCCTCCAACCATCTTCTCCTGGATCTAACAAAAGCTCCTTCAGCTTCAGCTCCTTCTTAAACAGTCATATCTAAACAGCTCCCAATTACTGCCGAAACATTTTTCAGTTAATGTATCGGAGCTTTAACTGAGCTATTTAATATTGCAGGTCCAGCTGCTTTCCCTGAGCCAACATCTTTGCCCCTTTGTGCTATCCAACAAACAGCATCATTTAAGGCTGAATGTGATACTTGAAAGAAACAAGATTTTTGTTGTTGTTTCGTTTAACCTGCTGTCTTAAACCCCTGGCATTAAGAAAGACACTGTAAAATGATACATTTTATAAATACTATAAAATCACAGCAAACAATTCTCTTCCCTTTTTATTCACATTATCATTTAAACACATTATTGCTTGAACATTACCTTTGAACTGGAAGCTTAAGTAGCTCTGAATAGGCATGAGCAATTCAGTGAAATTAGATATTCAAATTTGTAATAAACCCCCTCCCAAAACAAACTCTATATATATAGTGGGCGGCACGGTGGCGCAGTGGGTAGTGCTGTCGCCTCACAGCAAGAATGGCCTGGGTTCAATTCCCGGCCAGGCGACCAAGGTCATTTCTGTGTGGAGTTTGCATGTTCTCCCCGTGTCTGCGTGGGTTTCCTCCCACAGTCCAAAGACATGCAGCCAGGCCAATTGGACATGCTAAATTGCCCCTAGGTGTGAGTGTGTGATTGTGTATGTCTGTCTGTCTGCCCTGAGATGGACTGGCAACCTGTCCAGGGTGTATTCTGCCTTCCGCCCAATGACAGCTGGGATAGGCTCCAGCACCCCACCGCGACCCAGAAGGATAAGCGGTTTAGATGATGTATGTATGTATATGATAGTGCACATGTCAGTAAACAGTGACCAGACACGGTGACACCACTCAGCACCTTACTAATACTCTACTATATTAAAGTAAATCTACAGCAGGTGACATACAGCTTGAAACAACAGAGAGAAAAGTGTCAATCTGAAGTCTTTAAAACAGACACATTTTGGTCATCTGCTTTCACCTCAGCTAATCTTATCAGCCTAGCCACATTGTATTTCACGTTATACCTTTCAAAAGAATGAGTTTGTGTAGGCTTTGTTAGCTGATACCAAAGTAAATTCACTAAATGATGATATTCCATAAATAATGTAGCGTTGACTCAGAACACATAGCACATAAAGACAAATGCTCCTTTATTTTGAACAGGCACTTCAACAGACAGCAAGAAATACCCAGCTTAGTGCTAACACAACATGTAACAAGTGGAGGGGGTAACGCAGGAGGACATGACATCCGAGGAGGGTAGACATTTCTAAC